TGTATGAGTGCTCATTGCAAGACAGGCTATATTACGTGATATAAGCTGTAATATGAACGGGGTATTAAATTGTTGGCATAAAAGTATTTTTTTCATGATCAACTTGTAATTTAAAAAGTTCATTTTTTCACAATTAAACGTGTTTAACTGTCAAAAATACCTCTTCGACAATGTGTTTACTGCGTTTACTGGCAACCCGGGTAACCTACAATTGCCGCCTTTTCCGCATGTGGAATTTTGACGTCAGCTGCGAAAACGAAATAAATTTTATCCTATATTGCTAATTTGATCAGGAGAAATGAAAAACAGCGGCCGTAGTGTAATTCTGTAATTTGCCTCGATTGTCTATTAAATATGAGCGTGTTTGATATAATCAATGAACTGTCTTCAAAGTGGTAAGTGGCTGATGAGGATAGTTTCTTGGTTGGTGTGAGTAGGAAACTGAATATTATTTTAGATTTCAGAATATAGTTGCTCGTTGGAATCATCGAGAATTCATTCGATCTAATCTTTGCCTTCGATAAAACCGTTGCCTTCGGATTCGTAGAGATGGATATCACGACTTCACGGGGACAGGCTCGACCAGGTTGTGCGACAATTGAAGGAAGGGATCGACCATACGGTGGGGGTAGATCCGATGAAAGTACCCGACCAACCATTTCGTTAATTTTCTATACATCGATCTTCAAAGCCATTCATAAGAAAAATCGATAGCGATCGTTACCATTTCATGAATAATTGTAAAGATGCTAAAAGTCTAATCGTGAATCGTCTATAAAGATCTTTCTCAAAATATTGCTACCAATCGTTACCAATGTTAAAATATCGATTGTGTTGCCAGATCAAACGTAAACTTGAACTTGAAGAACTACAATGGGATCTACATCGGTCTTCTCGTTCATTTACCGGCAGATTGCTTCTTCCGATGAAATGCCGAATCTGTCGATAAAAAATATAAACATTGCCATCTGTCACCTGGTGTGTCTCGAAATCTCTTTAACCACCGATGCAAATCGATAACAAGGAGATTATAAATGTGCATCGATGGCAATCTTGGTTGTTCTTTGTCAAAATTCAAAGTTACGATGATATCAGTATTTAAATATTTATTGATGAATATTTGTAAAGAATACTTAAGGCCATGTGACATATCGAAATTAAAAGAAATTTAGTATGGCACCTTTATAGATGACTATCATATGACCGATGAAGAAATAATCTTAAATGTAAGTATCGATCAATAAAGATTTTTAAATGTGTACATCGAAATCATAGAAAATTTAAAGTAAAGAATTGCCGACATAAATCTTTATTTCTGTATAAAGAACTTTGTTGAAGTTTCACGACCGGTTGGTCGGGTAGCTTGATCGGAGACATTGTTTATCAATCAGAAATTATGATGTTGTAGTTTGCTATCGACGACGGCTGTACCCGCTGCGTGAGTTAAAATTAGTTGATTACGAACACACTTAACGTTAAGCTTAAAAAAGATTTTGTATTTGCAGAAAGCCGGTTACTCGTAGTGGTTCGTGGTGTTCCTTTTCTGTGTAAAGGATGGCACAAGCAAGGTACAATTGCAAAATGCAGACCAACGAGGCATTCAGGTATACACACATTCCTATGTATGGCACGCAGAAAAATTTATCGTTGAAACAAAAATATTAGGTTAAATTTACCTGGGTAGTGACGACAGAGTGACATCGATACTGTGGGCACAAACGAAGTGACAGACGACTAACTGGCGAAGAAATCCATTTAAATAATGTGGTTCACTGTAATAGAATTTTTTTGGAAGCTTATGCCATCATCCACCAGATGGGTTAGTTTTTTTTTTTTGATTTGAACAAAGTTGATTTTGTGTACAATGATTCTTTGACAGTGTGCAAAGAGTGCGTATCATTTTGTCATTTTTTTTATGCATTTCAGTTTTGAGTAGAGTGAAAGAGATAGAACCAAAACATTCTAGTACATTTGGTGAAAATGCTAGTTCAATCTAGTAGTAGTGTTGCCATGTGGTACAATCCAGTAGTAGTGGTGTTGCCATGTGGTACACTGAAAAATTGCAATAGCAGGCTCCGTCTGTCACTTCGTTTGTGCTGTGGGGTTCCTCCGATTTTATCGAGCTGGAACTTTGTTAATACCCCGTTCACATTACATCGCTTATCACGTACTATACGCTGTCTTGCAATGAGCACTCATACATCTAGTTTTCACTGGAAATCCTTTGTATGAGTGCTCATTGCAAGACAGCCTATATTACGTGATATAGGCTGTAAAATGAACGGGGTATAAGACACTTACCTAGGTATAAGACACTTACCTAGGTATAAGACACTTACCTATAGGTAGGTTTCCGGATCCATGACTTCGGTTTTGTTGCGGGCCGTTTTCAGTTGATTGGCAAAGCTGGCGCAATTTTTTCCGAATGTATATGATGAATATACGCGAAACTGCACCAGTGCATGCGACACCTAAGTTTGAGATCCAAAACCACAAAAGTGATGATAAACTTAAAAATTATTCCATACGATTTGACAGGTAGCAAAACGTCATTATCATTTTAACATCATTTCCATCTACTGGACGACCGTAACGTAAATTCATCAAACAAGAAGGAAAAAAAAATGCAGGGCACGCTAAAAATCGTTTACCCAAATTCTATATTGTTGAAATAAACATGCTTTTGACTTTAATTCAAACATATATATTTTTGTTGCAAACATGTTTTTAATTTATTTTGAATTGTTCATATGTTTATAGAGTGAACATTTATATATTTGATTTAAATGAACAAAATTCGGTTCCGTGAACAAATCAAATTGATTTGTTGTCTTCGCTTTTATACTATTTAGATTTCAATATTTTTTTAGTGTGAAAAAAAAATTACCATACTATAACACAAATGATAGAACTATTCCACAAATAGGTTGGATGATACCCCAAACACGTCATTAAGGTGATTCCTTCAAGAGTCCACAAATGGTCGTCCACGGCTTTTTGAGGCATAGTTCGTGTAAATAGTTCTAATTTCTTCATCAAGTTAGTTCTAGCATTTTATCAGTTGAATAAACATAGGATTCACGAATAAAATGTTAATTCCAGAAATTTATCACGCGAAGTCGGCTCACTACCCAAGCCTGCTCCTTTTTATCTTCTAATATAGTATCGGTACAGTTGAAAGCCAGAATAACCCACTAAGTAGCGGTAAGCGATTTTACTCTCCTTCTGTACACTCATAATTTCGACACATTTTTATTGGCGAATTTCCATATAAAATTCAACATGATTTTCATGTGTCCACACATAAACAGAATCCACTCAGAAGTACACATGAAATTTATGAGTCAAATGAATAGTATGTGTAGTTACACATGAATTGGTGTACCGATTCATTTCTGAATAAATCCACCCAAAATAAATAATATAGTTTTTTATAGATCACATCTCTATAATATCGGGTCACATTTCTAACTACCTCATGACAGATTACGGTATTTGAGGACGCCGCGAAGGAGCGCCTCGGCGCGGTACAATACGAGGTAAACATTGTGATTTTGTCGTCTTTTTCATCCTCTCACTGTTTGAATGGTTGATGGGATGGAGAAACATTCACATTGCCTCCCATGTTTACATCACATGGGGGAAGAAACCAAAGGATTTTTCGGTTTCAATTGGCTTGACGGCAACTCTGTAACTCTTTATTCCTATGGTAAAATCCATAAGCAAACGTCAGACTGTGCGTGAAACATGGCGGTTTTCGTCCTATCAACAATCAATTCGAAACTAACGATTTTAAATTGGCTCACTACTTGACTAGCGTATTGGTCCCAAGCAAACCATTAACGTACCCCATTCTAGTACTACACTACGTTTGTTTTGATTCGCTATGAAAGTTTGACAGATGAAATGAGTGGTTCGTGGATTTCCCTATGTTTCGAGGGGTGCATAGATTAGCTTGGGACCGAAAATAGTACCAGAGCTGAGCCAAAAAGTTGAGCACGTTTCTTAGAGTTACCTGCTTTCACTCCATTGAAAAATCCCATAAGAAACTGTCAATCTTTTCTATAGAAGAGACAATTTTTCGACGGTGCCGTCAACGCCAACCCGAATAGAAATTTACATTAGCCCAACGTTTGATTTTGATGTCTACATCAGCATCGAAATTAAATGTATGCCTGATGTCAAACATTAGAAAACGTTATGATTTAGTTGTATTTAAGTAACGTAACATCTGTATTCACATCATCGATACTTTTGTCCTTCGCGTCAATATCAACCTCTACCTCTATGTCAATATGTCGTTAAACGAAGTCCGCAAAGGCAAACCAACATAATGAACAGGTACCCGATTGTGGTTTAAGTTTGCGAATGGCGGCCCACGACCTTCCTGCACATTCGATTGCCGTCAATGGATAGCAATCGATGTCCGTCGGTGATTGGCACTAGATTGCGGAACAGAGACCGACGTTAAATAAAGGAAGGAAGGAAGAAGAAGAAGGAGGAATGCAATGTCTAAAAATTGAAAATAACGTCGAAAAATGCTACCGCCGTCGGACGTGTGAAGAAAAAATGGATGGGGTTATTATACCATGGGAACTGATCGGACCTGATTCTACATGTATCTGATCTGTTGTATATGATGCTCAAATTCATAGTATTCGTTCGCCAGCCGATTGAGGATGACGTTTCGTGATGTGAAAAACTGGAAGCGAAATTGAGAGGTTTTATATGTCAAACACAAATTTTACCTCCTTTTCCTGCATCTTATATATACAAAAATATCGTAAAAATATCTCATAGTTTCATAGTTCGGAATTATAACATTTTAGCGGTAATGACCAATGGCAACTTGCAAGCCTGCTTAGGACCTTTTGAAAAGTTACGCGAGAAATGTCCGTTACATAATAATTGTTACTATACAAACGACAACGACAACTAATCAACAAATTGTTCCAGGAATTTCGGATTCGCAAAGGAAATAGTAGAAAAATAGTATATAATTTAACTTGCAATATCTACTACTTTATTTTCGACAAATACCTACGGAGAAACAGGATACTCTAACGTAACCGTAAATCGTCTAGTGATAATCATTACTTATATTCGAACTTTCCCGGATAGCATAATATTAAACTTCACACGCCGTATCCATAGGCGATTAGAAGTCCTACAATTCTCTCTGCAACATAGTCAGAACATATTACTAAACAAATAATGGATTCTTAAACAAATATATGTATAATTTGAGACGCATAAATTGCTCGAGTGTATTAATATTACCAAGCGATATGCTATTGAAGCATCTGTACACTAGTCAGTTGGACTTTTTTCTCCTAAAAACTCAAGACACGTAAAGTTTACTTAACTAAATTTAGGGTCGAAATGTATGCTTGAACCGACATACCGAAAAATTACGAAAGAAGTTGTCACCACAGTGCTACGGAACACATTCGGGCTTAATTTACCAAGTTAAGCGATTGATACTGTTCCTCGTTGACCTCGGTCATCATGAAGCTTCCGTCGGGCAGAAGCAGTACCACTCGTCGAGTACCACCTATTTGAATAGAAAGATGTCAAATTAATGATTAGTCGAATGGAAAAGCGAAAAATATTTCCAGACGTTTCAACTCACCAGGTGATGGTTGATCCGCTTGTACGACCTCGGCCGTAATCTGGCCGTCTTGGGAATCTTCCGTCTGGATCGTTAATTGTTGATTTGGATCCACTCCTTCCTGCATCTTGTACTGAGCAGCTTGCTCCTCGGTCATCTGTTGTCCCTGTGTAATACACGAATCATCAAATTAATTTCCGGCTAGGAAATGCGAGTCCCCTAACTCAAATGCATACCTCTTGAGGAACTCCCCCAATCTGGGCAACTGCCTCGGACACAGCTGCATCCAACGTTAGTACGCCACCGTTTCCATCATCGGCATCACCTTCCTGGGAAGCCACCAGGACACACTGCTGTTCACCATCGGCTCCCTGAGCGATCAGAATGGTCTGCCCTTCGGCGTTCTTTCCGGCCACCTGATACAGAGTGCCGTCTTCGCCCGCCACAATTATCGGAGATCCATCCTCGTTAGTGAGAATCTGATGCACCTGAGTGTCTTGCTCTTGTTGCGCATCATGCTGTTCCTGTTGAGCTTGTAGTTGCTGTTGCTTCTTAAGTTTTGCTTTATCATCCTCGGGAATGGGCGCCGGTTCCCCTTCGGCTTGACCGAGTACTTTTCCAGTTACGGGGCAAAGAGTCAAAGCCCGTGGAGGAGATGGGGGAACAGGAGCAGGGAAATTCGACGGGAACGGATCGGGAATGCCGTCGTCCTCCTCTTCGTCGTGGTTGGTGATGGGAGGTTTTTGCTCCACTTGTATCGCTGGAGAGACGACTCGCTTGACAACATTCAGGCCTTGTTTGCGGAGCGCATTGATCTTCTGTTCGGGAGTCGTGTTCTTTGACGCGGGAGCGCTCCTAATGTTGCGGTTAATTGGAGCCTTGGCCTGCCCTGGAGAAAGTTTCGGAGACAGAGAGCTACGTTGAACAATGTTGGTGGTGAGTTTCGGTATAGGAGCGCCGCCTGGACTTGCATTGTTAACCATTTTATGTAGAGGTTGCCTTCCCAGACCAGCTGCCTGTTGTTGTTGTTGTTGTTGTTGCTGTTGCTGCTGTTGAGCTTGTTGAATGGGAATGGTTGTTCGAACGACCTGCTTCACCAGCTGTTGAGTTCCACCGATATTCTTGCGAACTATCCGTGTAGTCGTAGTTGTGGTCATACCCGGAGGGGTAGCCCTTTGCGCTGGAACCGGTGACGGCTGCGGCGAAGGGGTGCTCGCATTCACTTTGAACACTCCCTGCTTCGGTACTTCACCACGGTTTACGATCTGGACCTGAGCTTCCCCAGCAATATTTTTTGCGCCCGTGAACCCTGGTTTCTTGACCACTCCACTAGCGGTTCCATCCTTGGTAGTTTTCACAATCACTTCCGCTGCGTTCCCGTCATCCTTTTTCATCACTCCACCGACTCCATTGACTACCTTAAGGGGAGACTTTGCTCCAACCGATACGATTTTTACGCTACCGCTCTGTTGCGCCTTGACTAATGCTTGATTTACGGCCCCACCATCGGTTCTCATTTTTTTGACGCTCCCTTCGTCTTCCTCTTCGGCATCGTAGTCGCTGTCGATTTTTCGTTTGCCGTACGTTTCCTCGCTACCAGAACTCCCTCCTTGATTCATCATGTTGCTCCCAACCCACTGCTTAACCTTGTCCATGGCGTTGACCTTCGAGTTACGTGAAGGTCTACCGCCAAGCGGCGAAGTCAGGGGTATGGTTATGCTAGTAGGGGCTGGCACCATTGTTGCCACCGATGAAGGTGCTGGTGAAGCCGTTTTAGTCACGGTCACCGTTACAGCCGGACTAGGTGCTACGGTAACAGTAACTGCACTGGGTGCAGAAGACACCGCGAATTGTGTAGAGACAGCTGGGGTGGTAGCAGTCATCGTCGCGGAAGCAGTTGCCTTTGCTTTGTCCGCTTGCTGTTGCTGAAGAGTCCTTGCGGCGGCCGCTGCACGTTGTTCCTTCTGCTTGGCCAATTGTACCTCGAAGTACTCCAGGACACTTTGACATGTCTGCAGATGAATAAGCGGTTCCCAGGTGTTCTGGTCGTGGGCGAACTTGGACCACTTGACCAAATACTCGTGCTCTTTTCGGCGCGGGTTGAACCGTTTGGCAAGGATTTTTTCGACTTCCTCCTCGACGACCTCGCCGCTACCAGGAGTAGTGCGCTTTGCGACGGAGCGTTTGCTTTGGAGCGATGAGAAAAGTAAACAGGAAATTGTAAACACAAAAATCATTAGGTCTCAACTTTACTCACCTGATAGCTTTGTTGATCACGTTCTGTTCCGGTTTTTTCACCTGGGTCGATATCGGAGGCTTTTTCACCTCCGTTTCCACGACCTTGGCCGGCGTCGATGTGGCCACAGGGGATAATGTCTTGATATCGGGCTTACGGCCCGGAACAAATCGGTTTAGCTGAGCTGGCGGCGAAGTGATTGCATTAACCGGCGGTTCTGGAAAATCGTAAAAAATGCATTCGAAATCCTTGATCCTGAAAACAAATAAATAAAGTAAAACACTTACTCTTTTCCTCCGGTGCACTCTCGATGATAGTTTTAGTAATCTTTACAGGCATCTCCTGTAGGTTTCCTTGCCCCATCTGCAAAAGAAAACAACACCATTCAAATTAAACCAATTTAATTCTTTTATCCTTCATCCGCATTACCCTGGCAAACGATTGAATCGTTCGGCCGGCCACGATCCACGTCTCCCGTACGGATTCCTCTAGCTTCACCCACGTTTGGTACAGTTTCCAGGAATTTACATTGCCGGCTCCGGCTTCCGGTCCTTCAGTGTTCAGCTGGGCTGCCTTCCAAAGCAGAAATGCCCATACCTTGGCCTTGGTCTCGCGGCAGTCCTTCAGCGTGGACTCCTTGCGACATTCTTGCTCTTTGTGTTCCTTGAACAGCTCTATGAAGTGGAACACATTGTGGCACCGGCCACAGACCAACACATCGCTTTGGGTCATTTCCGCTTGGGCTTTTCGGATCAGATCCGGATGCTTGCCAATATCCGCTGGGTCGATGTCCTTGCCCATGCTCAGAAAGATTCACCTGCCATCAGAAAAAAATGGAAGGGGACACGATTTATTATGGACCCCTCCTTACGTACGCTTCTGTTGTTCTGTAACGCTTGGTTGTCGATACAACCCTGATATCACGATTCCAGCATCAGGGTTGCATCTGAGTCTTCCAAAACAAAAAAACACAAATTTTATTCAAATATCCACTACACTAAACATAATATTTCCAAAAATATTTTTTGAAATGCACTAATAGATTTGATAGCATCTCCCGCCAAATAAGAACCTTTTGAAATCAAACCCCCTATAACAAATTTTCAAAATTACGCGCCAGATAAAAAAAAAACCCCGCAATGGAAACGAAATTTGGGCCACCCCCATCGATGAAGGGGAGGGAGCATCCAATAAAAACCCTTCTTACCGCTTGGCGTCGTCCGCCGTCTCTGGATGCCTTTCTCGATGCTCCGCTTCAAGCGAACTTCACTGTGTAGTGCTGTGCGCTAAAACCCAAGATAGTGAACGAACAGACCCCGCGAAATCGCACTCGACAACTCAACAACCGCACAAAATCTCACCGGAACTGAATCTTTTTCACACACCGGACACTTCCGTCGACACTTTGCACGGCAACGGATGGGATTTTACACAGCTTTTCACCGAAAAATCTGCTCCTAAATTGGGAAGAGAACTGCTTTTGCTTTGGATTTTGGTCCGTCGCTTGGTGGTTCGTTCGCTAATTTTGTACCGCGTACAAATGGTGCCCGAATCATAACCACCGCGGTGAAAACGAACATCAGCCGTGCCACCTCGCCCAGGTGGTGTTTTCCAACTATTTGAAATGTCAGTTTGCTTTTTGGTTGTACTAAAAAGACCTTTTCTCGACGTTCTCGGCTGATTGGAAAATTTTCGTAAAAGCTCTATACACTGGAAATATATTAAACGTTATTCTTATTAGATTATACACATAAGATAACGGTTAACATCACTTCATTGATTTCATTCGGTCACCATAAAAAACTATTATTCGCATACTTTCGGATGCTTTCGGAAAAGTTTCCGCACTACAAGGACCCATTTGGTTTTCAAACGCTCTGAAACATGATGCAATCGAGGATGCAACTTCATGCAAAAAATGAACGCACAAGGATTTAATTTGACTCCAAAACAATAATAAAATAAGAATTTATGAAGACGTTACTCCTCCTACTCGTGTTTCCTTATTTAAATGAAAACAAATGAAAATTACCAAATATGCATTAAGTCATATAACAATAATGCAGCATATTTTTGCCATATAACATTTAAATTACTTAAAATATAATTATGACGTGTTTCATAGATTCAATTAATTAATGATTAACATGAACACTAATGAAAAAATCATTAGTGTGCATTCGTTACATCTGATAGATTCTACTTCTACAGTATACAAAATCTATAATATGCACACATAGAACCAACATGGATTTGTGATTAACCTTCCTATGTGTAAAACGTTATACATCATACTTGGAAACATCGATTGCAGCAATCTATAAAGTTCCACACATAGGATTGAGGCGTATATTTTTTTGAGTGTAGGCAGATGTCGCCACTTTATGATGATGATAATGTTGACAGGCTGCATACATATTACGAACACGCTCAAATTCTGAGCACTTGTGTTTTTGTATGGGACGGATTTTGAAAAATTTTCTTTTAGGATGTCCATATTACGATAAGTCGTGAGTTTAAATACATTCTGAGCGGATCAGCAATATTTTAGGTAAAAAAGGTGTTTTTCAAAGGATGATTTTAACGCACTGTTCGGAATTTGAATCAATACGGTAAATCGCGCGATGATCGAGACGTTTCCGTCGGATAAGATTATTTTGCGGCCGAGTGTCTAGGAAGCTATGGAAACCGAAATGGCTCTTGATTTTGTTTTATGCCCTTATAGTATAAACCACCATCGCACTTCGTGAGTTGCCCCAATATAACCCTTGCTTTTGGTTTGAATCAGTACAAATTTGTTCTATTATATAAAAAAAAGAAGTATACATATTCATTTTCTTCCGAACTAAATAAACCACCATCACACCCAAGTAACCAAAAGTTCCACATTCAACGATTAAAATCACTTCCAAGTTCCATAAAGTTCAAATAAAGTTCCGACCGAACCTTCAAGTTCCATGAAGTTCAAATAAAGTTCCGTCAGAACTTTCAAGTTCCATAAAGTTCAAATAAAGTTCCTACAGAACTTTCAAGTTCCATAAAGTTCTAATAAAGTTCCGACAGAACTTTCAAGTTCCATGGAGTTCAAATAAAGATCCGACAGAACTTTCAAGTCACATGAAGCCATCTGCACAAGTCTTTATTAGTAACAAAAATTCAATGTACGTAAATATGAAGTGATCAGTGGCCGTGAATATCGAATATCATAATTCTTATATTTATGCAACATAAAAAAAATTAAAAAGTAATTTATGGATTCGAACCCGTGTATTCGGCATGCGATGTACGATTCCTAACCACTGCACCACAAGTTTGATGGAATACCATGAGGGAAAACACCAATTTAAAATTCATCAAGGTGTTGTGTTTCGTATTCAAGTCAGTCAGCTGTCACTGAAAACTCCAACAGTAGGCGGGACAACAGCTCACTTTATTATATCTCAGATGACGCAGCGATTCGTGCTGGGGCTCTCGCGCAGAAGGACTGGGTTTAATTCTTCAAACAGCTCCAATTCTTCTACTAATGCTGATAAATCAATACACATTAATACCTGCTTTTAGAAATAACTTTAATAAAAGTGCAAACTAAATATAGAATTGGTGTAAAGGACAGAAACCTTTTTTTAATTTATTTTCTAAAAGTTCCGTCCAAGTTCCGCCAGAGGCTGCTTAGAATGCTCTTCAATTATGGTACCGGAACTTTCAAGTTCTTATAATGACTTAAAAATTAGGCTGCTTAGAATTCTATAGACCACCTCCAACCAAGCTGTTTAAGCCATAAATAGCCTTTTATCAGAACTTTTGTTTACTTGGGCACTTTGTGAGTGGCCCCAACAGTATCCTTGCTGTTGGTCTAAATCGGGTCAAATCGGTTCTAATAATTATTTTATATTCAATCAAGTAAACCACCATCACGCTTTGTGAGTGGCCCCAACAGCATCCTTGCTGTTGGTTTAAATCGGTTCAAACCGCTTATAATTAATTATTTTGGTCATTGATAAAATAAAATAAACCATCATCACACTTTGTGAGTGGCCCTAACAGTATCCTTATTGTTGGTTTAAATCGGTATACACACATCTAATAATGATCTACATCTCTAGACAGCCGGCTGTTTAGAGCATAAATCGAAAACACTTATAAATAACTACACAAAACAAAAGATCGCATCACTTATCAAGGTGAATCCTGATCCAACGAACCTAACCCACTAACAAAACCTCCTTCCTGTGACTTTTGTGGGATGCAGAGGTAAACACGGTCCCAAAACAACAAAAGTCACACACTAACATTCCTTCCCTCTCCCACCTGATTGCAAGGACGTGGCCGGTGACGTTATTGATCTTTAAAGGTAGGAGTCACTGGAACATATACACTGAGAATGGCAGGTTACTCCCAAGCCCCATTCAGTTGATTCTTTGTACAATTTCACTGGTTCAGATCAATCACGGAGTGCAACTATCGATACGTGCAGTCAGACTAAGCTAAGCTAAGCTAAGCTATGATAATGTTGACAGGCTGCATAGGAAATTCGCAGAAATTTAAAAACTTAATTTTCATCAAACCTGCCAAACATGCTTCCAATACAACCTTCGAATTATGTAGCAAAACGTCATTCCGATCAGACTGACCCGGCGCCGGTGATGTAGTGGTAAACGTGACTGCTTTCTCACCCCATGGGTCTGGGTTCAATCCCAGCCGAGGTCGGTGGGATTTTTCTGAGGCATAAAAATCTCTGGTCACGTCTTCCTTCAAAAGGGAAGTAAAGCCGTTGGTTTCGGCCCATGTGTGTTAAATGGGTGCGATATCCTACGCAGGTGTGGAAGTCGAGGTGGAAGCTACCAATCGGTGTCCGACGGTGATTGGCACTAGGTTGCGGAACAGAGACTGACGTTGAACGAAGGAATGAAGAAGAATAAGAAGAAGAAGATCAGACTGAAGTGCATCTTTGACTATTCCAGTTGGATTTTAATGCAAAATATTCATTTAATTTCACGACACTCTCAATGCATCGCACAAAAGATGTTAACAAAAGTAAATTTCGTAAATTGTTCAAAATTAAGTTAATTTGCTAGTATGGTCAAGTTACCTCTATGGTATGGTATCCTAGGAGCTGATCACTTGTGGTGCATTTATTGTAACGACCGAGCTGAGCCAAAAAGTTTAGCACGTTTCTTCGGGACCTTTTGGTCTTAGAGTTACTTAGGGGAGCTATGGGGGAACTTTTCTCATATTCGAAAAATTTTCCTGGAAAAACCTGAAAAACATGAGGGAAATTAACTCAAAACTGAGTTCCTGCACTTTTTGCGATTTATGAGTGAACTAAACTCAAATTTGGGTCGTTCACATTTGCCGTGTAGTGCTGACTCAGGACAAAACAAACTTTGGATGCGGCGAGGGACCGAGGGACTCTAATTTTCTTTTTTTTCGGTTCAGCTACCCTAATAAAAATTGTATGGTTAATTTGCTTAACGACGTGTTCTGGGTATCATCCAAACCATTTGTGGAATAGTTCAATGATTTGGGTTATCGTTCGTTTATGGTTATTTTTTATTAGAGTAATAAACGCCAAATAACGCGAGTCATTGACAGGTCAACATCAGTTGTTTGTAATGAAACGTCTATCTGATATCTAATATTGCTAATGTTGCTAATGTTGTGTCATAGGATGTATTCTAATGTTTTATGCGTGCAACAATTTACATCGTGATGAACTTTGATTCTCATTGGATGTATTCTGATGTCAAATTTTACATCCTCAAGACGTTTGATTCTGATGTAGCGTTTGAGGCTAATGTATTTTTATGTACTTCACACTTCAATTTTTTCGCCGAGATTCCAACAGCCGAGTAGTTCTGCAATTTATTTTGCTGAGATTCAGTAAATCAATTGCCGAGACTCAGCTAACAAATATCATTTGGCTGAGATATCAGCTAACAAACAGATATTTTGCAGATATATCAGCAAAAGTAAATGCCGAGGTAATCGGCTGTTGGAGATTTTACCGAGCTAAATTAAGTGATTCCGTTAAGAGGTTCGACAAATTTAAAGGATTAAATTAAGTGTGTTGGACGTCACACTGAAGTCTGAATACATTAAGGGTACAGCAATACACGTTAAAATTTAATGCATTGAAGATGTCTGCTGATGTTTCCTACATTACAATTTCTATTCGGGTTTTGACGTTCATATTTTTCGAGTCTCCTTCTCCCTCTCAGGTTTCGAGTGAATCGACTTATTATTATATTTAAAGAGCTTTAAAATACTTTTAAATTTTTATTATAGTTACTCATTTATAACAACATCTTTAAAAACCCCTACTCCTTATAGGCTTTTTCAATGCACCACCAATGTAGAGTGCGCCAGGCGAGTTCGAGAGGAAACGTCAACAAAACCGTTTGTTTACACCAGAATAAGGGGTTTTAACAACACAAATTAAAGCATTTTTCATTGAACATCATGACAATTTCCACCAGTAATTGTCTTATTTTACGATTTTCCACAGATCTGAACTGATTTGTACCTCAACTATTCACACACAAGAAGCGAGGATCATAACCACTAAGGCACTATTCTAATTATCCATTATTCTCAACAAAAACATTCCTGAATACCAGCAGGATCCTTGCAAAAACTATATAGAATTAGTTTTTCAACTGTAGATCAAGTTTTTGAGCATCTCAGATGAATCAAAGTATCAGGAAAAGTGAAAAAGTGTTCCGCATCCTATGCCTCATGGCAAAAATTTCTGCACACAACACTTTTTTTTTTAAGTTCTCCAATTCACCACCAGAGAGGCTAAGCGATCGATTCAGTTTCTAATTAAAAGGCGTATATTAAGCATAAACAATATTGTGAAATTTTTCCGAGAATTTTTCTTCATTTAGACTCGAGTGATTTTAATTTCTTCGTTCTCAAATTTCGCTCTCACCAATCCCTCATTGGAACATATCAGTGCTAACATTTGAAAACGGCGCAAAAGCCATTTGTAAACAAATGGTTTGTGGGCCCTTTACTCGCTACCCGAAGAACGCCCACGCAAACCAACAGCATCGTCAGGAAGGGGAAAATTTCCCCTACCCGATGTTGCTGTTGTGTCGCGTGGGTGTACTTCAAGTAGTGAGTAAAGGGCCCAAAAACCATTTGTTTACAAATGGCTTTTGTGCCGTTTTCAAATGTTAGCACTGATATATAACGCTTGGTTTCCATGAAATGTAGTCTGATGTTTACTTTTGACTTCTTTGTTCCAAACCACCTGGTTAATCCTCTTCCATATGTTTACTTTTGACCCCTTTGTTCTAGAGCTCACAGCTGGTCATGTTTACATAACATATCCAGCTGGTGAAACTGTTTGCGCGCGAAAACGACAAGGAAAAGCTGAAATGTTAAGAGTTTCAAAAGCCACACGTTTTCAGGTTTTTTGACAGTTAACCCATGCATTATCTGGCAAAAAATCTGAAAACCTATCCATTGTGCGCCAGCCTTAAATATTCATAGAAACCACAATATCAAAACAATTTAAATAGTATACACACGAAACGTAAATTAATTATTTTATTAATGTGTTTCACTCATATATTTTTGCCAAAACATCAGCCTTATACATGCATATACATACCTTCCATAAGACAAACCACATAGATACTATAAAAATGCATTAGCGGTATGTGGGACTATTTTAAACATTTCATTATACATTTAAAGAATAATCAGCAATAGAAATTTTCCAAAAGATATAAGGGGATTTCTATGCGTGCAAATGTAGGTCTGGTTTTCCCAGATTGGGCTAAACCGGACAATCTCAGAATATGGATAAAGTTCTAATCCCAATATGGGTAAATATGGTCCATATATGAATTGGTTTTATATTAATTTGACTTAAATTTACCCATATACCTAATAAACAAATACCACAAACGAACAATAACCGAAATAGTCGAACTTTTCCACAAATGGTTTATTAGGGATTCTGAGTTTGTCCGCACTCAATCTGGGTAAACCAAACCTGCATTAGCATTATCTATTCTTAGCGTGTAGCGTTTCTAAATTTTAGTACAAAACTGCAGAATACATCTCCTAGCAAAACAGTCTGAGATTAGCCACGGGGTCGGCTCTGTAAATGTCAAGCCGAATCACAATCACAACAAAAACACGCATCACGATTTTTGTTTCAAAAGCTGCATCGATTTCCTTCCCATTTTATCGGAAAACTCTCCGTATTTGCCATTACTGCCCAATCGAAATCCACTAACTTTTGATTCATCCGTTCCTCCTGAAAAGAAAAGCGCATCTTAAACTACCATGGCCGATGAGGACGAAATCAAGGAATACCGGTGGGAAACCGGCTATGAGAAAACATGGTGAGTAAAAAAGCATCTATGCAATCCTATGCTTGGAAGATCTAAAATGTACATTAATTTCAAAAACAGGGAAGCAATCAAAGAAGACGACGATGGCTTGGTGGAGGGTTCGGTAGCCGATATTATTCAGAAGGCCAAACGGAAACGGCAAGCCATGAAGAAGGGCTTCAGCAAGCTTGGAATGATGCGCCATTTGTACGTCCTGTTGGATTGCTCGGAAGCGATGAGCATACCGGATTTGAAGCCAACGAGATTCATATGCTCGTTGAAGCTTTTGGATATCTTCATCGAGGAATTTTTCGATCAAAATCCAATTTCACAGCTGGGGGTGATTGCCATGAAGGCGAAGCGAGCGGAGAAGATAACCGAGCTGGGTGGCAGTTGTCGAAAGCATGTGAAGGCGGTGGCGAATTTAAATAAGCTCAATTTGACAGGGGAGCCTTCGCTGCAGAATGGGTTGGAATTGGCACTGAAGACGTTGAAAATGGTACCATCGCATGCCAGTCGGGAAGTGCTGGTGGTGATGGGAAGTTTGACCACTTGCGATCCGACCGATATTCACATCACTATCGAGGCTCTAAAAGCGGAGGGGATCCGTTGTTCGGTGGTCAGTTTGTCGGCGGAGATTCGAGTGTGTAAGTTTTTGTGCACTGAGACGGGAGGGGTTTACGGAGCGGTGCTGGACGATGCTCATTTCAAGGATCAGCTGTTGCAGCATATTGATCCACCGCAGGCGGGAAATCAGCAGGAGTATTCTTTGATTAAAATGGGGTTCCCCCACGGGAAAACGGAGGAAGGCAAGGATCCGCCGCTGACTATGTGCATGTGCCACATAGATAGCACTGATGAACCTTCAAAGTTAACGTCAGGTGGATACCACTGTCCGCAGTGTTACAGCAAGTATTGCGATCTGCCGGTGGAGTGTTCGGCGTGTGGATTGACTCTGGCATCGGCTCCGCATCTGGCCCGATCGTACCACCACCTGTTTCCGGTCCCACATTTCCAGGAAAAGCCTTACGAACATCAGGCCACCATCTGCTACGGTTGTCAAAAGACGTTCAATGCAGCCACCGAAAAAACGGTATACCAATGCGGAGCATGCCAGCAGGTGTTCTGCATCGATTGCGATATCTTCATACACGAAACGATGCACTCGTGCGTGGGATGTACGACGATACCGGCCTCGGTGCAAGCGTTGCACGCACGAAAACCCGTCGCCCCGCCGCATAGTTTGTCGATACTTTGAAAATAAAATGAAGCGATTCGCTTGAAGTAATAAAGATTTTGAACCGATCCAATCCAATTAGAATAAATAGTGCTCTGCTATCCGAAATAAGCCTTTGGTGCTTTCGTCTTAATCGCAAAACAGGAAAAAAAGGCCTAGGGTATTAGAAAGAAAAATCTCATCTGCTCCACCTTAAGGAGTACAAATCTCCAAACCTTAAAGGCATTCACTTCTAGGTAGGATCCTGAGCAACTAAGGAACTTTTAAGAAGTTTTTAATCTTCAGAAACGTCCAGACAGTTGGGTAAGTTCTAAGATCTGTAAGGGTAAGTTCCGATAAATTAAAGACAGTTTCTTCAAGTTCTGTTATAATTCGAGAGCCCGGGAATTTCTGGAAAGTTCAGAGAACTTAAGGAAACATCAGAAATATATCTGAAACTTAACAAGTCCAAGGAACGTCAGGGAAATTTAATGGTTTTTAGGACAGCTCCATTTGTTTCAGGAGAGTCGAGAGAGTTTTAGGGAAGCTCTCATCAGGACTAGAGTTTCCATTTCCTGACAAAGTTTGACTTCCCGTGACACGGGGAACAGCTGATGGCTCTTCCCGGGAATCGGGTAACGTTTTTTTTTTTTTCAAAATCCAGAAAGGTAATAAGTTTAATTCATGGCGGTTTTTCTTCAGAATGTTTATTTTTTAACTTCTGTAGAAATATTTATGAAGTAGATAATAGTTTAACAACTAAATTTTAATATTTGTACTTTCATCGGAATTTTTTTGCTAAGACTTCTCTTGGTATTTTCTTTTGACCCAGAAGATAATTTCGAGTTCTCCCAGAAGTCTCTTCCAGCTTTCGTAGAAAATATCACCGGAAGCTTCTTGTAGAAGTCCTTCTGGCTTACTGTTTTATTGTTGTTTTACATCAACAGTCTGGATGAAGCCCCAATGATGTTAACCTTATCAACTATGGTAAAAAAAAAATACATTCAAGCATGGTCATAACATAAAAAAAACATTAAAAAGCATATATCTAATAGTCAGTTACTCCTGCCGGCGAAAAACAGAAGAAAACTTTCGACGAAGCGCATCACGGGAGAGATGAATGTCGAAAACAGATGCAACTCTGTTGAATGTTCTCTGCAGTCCGCAAATCGCACCGTGTGCTCCATAATTTGTGCGACGTAGAGGCAGTCTTAGCATAAGGTTATTACGAAGCGGTCGTTGATGACCATTCAAGTCAATCCGCCTCAGGATAGCCTCGCAATCTGTCCTTCCATGCAGGATATCGGCCACTGCTTGTGTCTCTTCTAGTCCGGAGAAGTTCTAGGTCGATAAGTTAACAACGGCTTTCGTAACTGGGAAATCGAAACGGATCTTTCCAAAGCAAACTACGCAACGCAAAGCGAAGAAAGCGACGTTGAACAGATTCAATTCTGTCGGCACCGTTGTTGTAGTATGGGTTCCAAACCGCTGAACAAACAAACAATAGAGAGATTTTAGACATAGATATCGGTGAAGTTTAAAGTTATCCTAAAAATGAACCCTAAAGTTCTTGACGCCTTATCAACAACACATGCAATGTGTTGCTTGAATGAAAGCTGCGAATCCAAGATCACACCCAAGTCTTTCACCTGATTCACGCGTTCGATTGTCGAGCCAAGCAGGTCATAGCTAAATATTATCGGTTGTTGTTTTCGTGAGAACGTGAGCTTCGATGACCAGATGCACGTCGTTGAAGTACGGTCCCATGTGGCTTCCTTGAGGTATACCTGATGTGGCGAAGAAGTTAGCTGATCTGCCATCTCCTATGGCAACCTTTAGTTGCCGACCGGTAAGATATGATCAAAACCAACTCAGAAAACTACCGCATACACCGAGCCTACCGAGTTTAGCAATCGCAATAGCATGGTTCAACTTGTCGAATGCTGCGGATAGGTCTGAATAAATAACGTCCGTTTGAACCCGATCCGACATGCTTTCGGTTATATACGATGTGAGACACAGCAGATTGGTGGTTGTAGAGCGGCCGACAGTAAACCCATGTTGATCAGCACTCAAATATTGCTTGCAATGGGACAGCAACGATTCATAATCACTAGCTCGAATAGATTCGAAACGGCACTTAACGATGTAATTCCTCGATAGTTATCCACAGCTCGTTTCCTTCCTTTTTTGTGGACGGGAAACATGTGCGCAAATTTCCAGCAAGACGGAAATATGCCACCTGAGAGAGACATTCGGAACAGGCGAAGAAGCGGAATTAACAAGCTAGCAATATGTCTCTTCAAAAATACAGATGGAACTCCATCAGGTCCAGGATTGAAGGATGACTTGAGCAGAGTCGTGGCCTTAGAAATCATTTCTGCATTAACATCAATTGCACCCAGCGTTTTGATCGTTTACTGGGACGTTCCTGGCAGCCAGGTTAATATGGTCGTCAGTTAGTATCTTGTTAGTGAATACACTGGCAAACTTTTCGGAAAAAATGTGACATATATCCTGAACAGTGGCAGCAACTTCTCCGTTGAATTCCATAGACGATGGGAGGCCGGATTCCCTGCGTTGCTCGTTCACGTAGTTCCAACAGGATTTCGGGTGTAGCTTAAGTTTGCGCTGGTAGCCTCGTTGGAAACTTGAAAAGCATTCACGACAACGGCGCCGGTGGTGTAGTGGTAAGCGTGATTACCTCTCACCCCAGCAGGCCTGGGTTCAATTCCAGTCGGCGCCGCCGGGATGTTCTGAGGCATAACATCTCTGATCACGCCTTCCTTCGGATGGGAAGTAAAGCCGTTGGTCCCCGGTTCATGAGTTGATGGGTCGATAGGTAGAGTCCAGGTGTGGGAGCTGCCTTCCTGGCACGTCGGTAGCATTGGTGCTCAGCACGGAAAACAAGATCGACGGAAAAAAAAAAACAAACCAAAGGAAAGCATTCACGACTGACTCGCTCGTACATGTGATTCAGCCTCACATAATGTAGTTTAAGAGGAAGCGTGCGATACTTCGTAAATCTTCTCATTGCTACTCTCTTGATTGACTTCAACCTACGTCGTCTGCCAGGGAGGGTGAGACACTTTGTGGTGGGTTCTTTTCGGGACGTGTCTGTCAATGACATATGCCAAGACATGTGAAAATGTTTGCGCTGCAGCCTCAACGTCATCTGGATCAAGGATGTTCTCCCAGTAATCTGCTTGGAAGTCGATTTGGATAAAAATTTACTGCCGCCATGGCGCCTAAACGCAAAAGAAAGGGGCAAACTCTTGACCCCCCTTCTGAAGAAATTAATTTGAGTAATCAATTTGATTTGCTCACGGATGATGAGAATGATCCATCATCCAAGAAAAATTCTAGTAAACTTTCCCGGCTTAATGCCAAGAAGGAAAAGATTCCCCCTATTGTGATAACCACTTCCGATTTCCATGCTCTTCGCATGGAACTTTTGAACTTCGTGAAAGTTAAGTTTTCTCTACAAATTGGACGTCGGGGTGAATGCCGTGTATTGGCTGAAACCTTGGACGGATTTAAATGTCTTCTCAAGTATCTTACTGAGAAGAAGCACAAATTTTTTACTTACGACACCAAAACTGAACGTGTGTTCAAGGTTGTCATGAAAGGACTGCCCAGTGGTGAATCCCTGGATCAGATCAAAGATGAACTGGCAAAATTACTTGGAGTTGTGCCACTCCAAGTAATCAAAATGAAAATGAAATCCCGTCCTGGCGATTCGCGCAACGGGATTTCTAATGATTTTTATTTAGTTCACTTCAAGCCTAGTGAACTAAACAACCTTAAGGGGGTATTCCCGATCTTTTTTTTCAAAAAATCAATTTTTTTTTCACGTTTTTTTGTACTTTAGACTATATACTTTCATCCCCCCAAGCCGTTTTCCGATCAGCGAATTCGGTGTCCAGGCATAGCTGACTAATGGTAAGAACCCCCAAATGGTTTTAACTAAAGTCAAAACTTTAAACGCGTTTTTCTCGAAACCACATTTTTTTATCGGGCGAAGATTTTTCTCAAAAACTATAAGAGATATTGACTTGAATCTTTGCGCATTTTGTTCCTTATTAAATTCTTTGGAGCTTCTCCCACTTTCAGCCAAAAATATTAACATTTAACATTGTTTGAAGCACCTTAAAGCTGCAAAAAAGCGGGCTAAAAATCGCCTGTTTTTTCATATGGCCGCCATTTTGTTAATTTGCAAGATTTTTTGCTGCCAACGGGAGAAGCTCCAGAGAATCTTATGCAGATTATTAATTTCATCACGAAATCTGTTTCAGATGAAGCCGTTCCAGAGAAAAGTCTTCGCCCGTCCAGGCGTTTGCGGCGAACAGGGGTCTGTTTGCCGCCATTTTGTGACGTCAATAATGTCTTTTTTTATGTCGAAAAAAATTTATTTGTAAACTTTAATGTTCAATAAACAAGAATCCCAAAGAGTTAGGCGCATTACTATTCATTTTCCTTGAAAAAAAAATTAATTGAAAAACAGGCCGAAAAAAGGCAAAAGATTGGGAATACCCCCTTAAGGCCTTAGAAAAAGCTAGCCTTATGCTCCATGTCCGAGTGAAGTGGGAACACTTCAGGAAGACTGGAGGAAATTTCCAAAACCTCACTCAGGCTCTGAATCATTTGGTGGATTATTTTAACTTTTGGTTAAAATTTGACAGATGAAAAGTTATCGATTAACCCTGCTATCCGAGCGTGGTTACTTCTGACAGACAAGAAGTTAAATTTTGACGACCGTGGCTAGAAAACCGGTCGATCGACAGCACGGGGATTTTCGAACATAAGAAATAACTTTCGAAATGTCACTTTTAACCACGAGTTAAATTTAACTCGGCAAATGGTTCACAGCCTCAGTGCCGTAAGTGCCAGGGATGGGGTCACGGAACTAAAAATTGCTACATGCCAGCTAAATGCATGAATTGTGGTGATTCCTCTCACGCAAAGGACGACTGTCCTGTGAAGGAAGATCCTAAGAAATTTAAATGTTCAAATTGTGGTGAAAACCTCGGTGAAAACCACAAATCCAATTTTTGGGAATGTAAGACTCGCA